ACGTTTATGTGTAATCGGGCTCATGCTCCGATCATTTGTACAGAATTATGTCTGTATTAATGCCGTTAAAAGGGAAGGTAGATGTGAATGTGTGTGTGTGTGTGTGTGTGAGAGGTTGGGGGGGGGGGTGAAGGCAGAAGTATTGTTTTAGACGACGTAGACTAGAGAGTATGGGGAAATACATAATTCTGATAATGGTTCTATTTCGCAACACTGTCTACCATCAGGTATGTTTGAGAATTTCTGCCTCAGCGCAGCTGTTTAGAACAGCCGTCATCATGCCAAAGTGTCAGGAGCGACCAGAAAACAACAACACCCAGAAATCTCCGCGTCCATTACCGCCCGCGGCGTGAGCCAAGGTCAAGGTGTTCTCGTTCGTCCAATCAGCGGCCGGCTCTTGTGTGAGGTGACAGGTGCCCACAGAGCCCTGACGACCACCCATTAACTCTTTGATCGCGCCAATGCTTTGGGGTTGTTGTTTTTTTAACGTAGGTGTTTTGACGCCCCCCCCCCCCAATCAACCCAATTTAGATTATTTAGGAGGTGGGCCTCCAATCTGTCTGCCAGGGCCTTCCCGTGCTGAGAAGGATACAACATCCCAGCAGAGAGACCGGGGTACTGGATAAATATTTCTCCTTACTCGGGAAGCGAATTCGGTTCTCCTGTGTGCGACAGTGAAGTGCCTAGCCGCTACACCACGGCTCCGGACTGTTTGTTTTTGTTTTACTAAGGTTTTACGGCGCTTGCAACTCCATAAGGTCATGTGAGCGCCAAGGGGTGGATGTCAACAGAGAAGTCCAAACGGAGAATCAGGCTTTCTCTGCTCACCTCTCAAGCCTCAACAACACAAAGTCTGCTTCAACTATCAAGGCACCCCGGAAATAGCAGGTCACAAGAGAGTGACAAACATACAAAAGAAGTAGAGGACAAATGACGATAGTAAGGATGAAGAAAGAAAAAGCAAGAGTCCCCCCTCTGTTGTTCCGACACTGTATGAGAACGACATTGATAAATCAGCCCATTTAAACTTCTACTGTGCACAAGAACATGTTAATGCCCCCCCTCCCCTTTGGGGGGAATGGCCTAAAGACAACTTCAGTCAGTAGCAATGCTTTGGTGGGGGGATGATGTGTATGAATAAAGAAGCAACGAGTCCTAATTTTTAAATATTTCAAAACAGCACACCCTAAATGAGTTAACTAGAAAGGAAACGACACAAGAAGAAATGTCATGTGCTTGACACAGTGGGCGGGGCCTAAGCCTTGTCGGGGTTCACCTAGAGCAATATGGCGCCTATGAATAAGGTGTGTGAGTCCCACACGTGTGTGTGTGTTCTGACGTGCCCGTCATCCGTCATTGTCGTGTGGAAGTTCTACACGTGTGTGTGTGTGTGTGTGTGTGTGTGTGTGTGTGTGTGTGTGTGTTAGGCCAATGTTGTGTCCGTCATCCATCATTGTCGTGTGTGAGTTCCACACGTGTGTGTGTGTGTGTGTGTGTGTGTGTGTGTGTGTTAGGCCAATGTTGTGTCCGTCATACGTCATTGTCGTGTGTCTGTGGACAACGCGCTCAGGACATTCGCACTTGTTTATTGTGTGAGCAATGACCCCAAAACCGGTCAACATATCAGAGAAAGAAAAACAAAGCGGTGACATGTGAGAGATTAGACAGAGCTTTGATTTGTCGAGCGTGAGGCTAAGAAGAAACCGTCGCCATCTTTCTACATTGTCCTATAATGTCAAAACACGAGATGTCCAGGAAAGGAAAAAATCTTATTTCAGACAGGGCATTATGTTAAAGAAAAATAATAAATCCTTTTAGTTTTAGTAAGAGATTTACGGCACTTGCAACACAATAGGTCATTTAAGTGCCGAAGATTAGAGGAGTTACAAGAGAGTAACAAACACACACAAATAAGGACGGGAGATCGGTGGACAGATGTTGGATAGAAAAGAACAAGCAAAAAGCACCAGAGCACCCGCCAACCACCCACCGACTAAATCTGTTTCTGTTTCTCGAAGACAAATGAGAGTAGGACCAATCGATACAGCTCATCAAACATTACAGAGTACTTGAGTATAATTTTTTGTTGTTTGAATTCTGACATAGGACACAATGTTGAATGACGACGACCAAGTGATCCATTGGCTTTCTGGGAGGTTTTTATGACGTGATCAGTGGCTGGAGGAATTGTGGTGGCAGATCTAGACATTGGGAGGAGAAGAACAAAGTGGATGGCAGGTCAAAACTGAGGCAGGTCTCTGAGTTATCGAGTGTGTGGCGCTGAACAAATAAACATTGAGAGGTTGGTTGGGTTTTTTTTTGGGGGGGGG